GACTAAATCTCTATTCAACCTTTATATTATCCTGTGGAAAAAAGTAATGCGTTATTGGTGGAATACTTCGTGCAAGTAATAAATAGCCAGTGACAAAATGCTCAGTAAGATTTGAAAAAAGTTCGCCTGTTCCACAATGAGGATATATTATCTTTTAGCCGATTCCTGTCTCAGCTGCGGTATACGGTTTTGCGTGGGCTAACGCGGTTGGTTGTCGTATGATATCCGGTGAACTTGAGGGCGAAGTCTCCTGCGAATGAACTGATGAAATTATTTGGGTGGCAACGCAAAGTGTACTGTTGTCATTCCGATGTTCAAACTATGATTATTTAAAAACAACGTAATATACTGAACTAAAAACAAATCAGTTAATTCACGTATATTGCCGCATCAAATGTTCCGCGACAAAAACGGCAGCCGTGAAACAAGGTTCGCTTCCGCGGTTAGTTTTGCACTTTTGTCGTGGGTAACGAGTAGACCACGAAAATACGATTAGCGTAGGCATTTGGTGTGTCCCACGCCTTGCGTTGATGATATACAAACATATTACTTAATGACCAAGTGTAGTCTTATGCGATGAACGCATTTACTCATGGGCGTTATGTAAACGAAGGACTTGGATAACACGCTGCCAAATAGATGACGCACGCAGCCCTGTTTGCAACCGTGGTGTTAGCGGAATACGTAAACCCTTATATCTATCAAACACCTTAGGTTTTGTGTAGATGAACTATCAATTCCTGTGCGACTCCGGTTAACTTTTAACAGTGAACCAAACATAACCGCCTTGGTATACTGTGGTCCTGCCAAGTTTCGATGCATTTTGGGATAACCCTTCGGTGGTACCGTCAATGATCCCCGCGGCGTGTGTCAGCAAACACAAGTAAATGCAGGAGACCGATAAATTGAAAGACATCTATGAAGGCTTTCCCGAAAACCTCTGTCAAACATTATCTGTCCGCATCAATTTTTATTCTGAGTTTGCCAGTAAATGTGAACGAAAGAAATTCGACGAAATCGTTACTATCTAAAAATATGCTCACTGGTGCTTCTTCAATAACCCGTGTAGCCTCCAAAAATTGACACATTCCGCCCTTTTTTAGAAAGTTTCCCCCGGAAACGTAAGGTTACCAGTTCGTCTTCTCGGGTACACAATATTTCGTGATCCTAAGCGTGCCAAACGAGAAATCACCGTTTTCCCTAGTATTCGCTGGATGAAACTGCACCGTGATTTGGCCTTAGTTCCGCTCGCAAACAGTAGCATTAAGGCAGGATTTTGAGTGGAGACATTTTGAGTGGAGAACGCCCATGAATGTGCACCATAAAAACCGAGGAGAGGTACAAAGCATCCACTAACATGTTCTAAGCAATTACTCCACGTTGGATATGTAAAGTAAGACGAGTCGGCTGCAAAATATATAGCAGGGATATAGTCGTATAAGTGAAGATATTCTATGCTTAATATAAGAAACTGTAAAGCCTTTTCACCCTTACTGAGAAACATCAACGTTTAAATCTCGAAAAATGCTGGTCATGATCTTAAGGGTTTAGCCCTTTGTCCATCAATTTCTGACGTTTCAGGATTAAGGACGTTTTGACGGGTGTGTGGTGTCAAGGTTGCACATATTTCGGGTGTACTTGACAAACGGAAAGTGCATCTTTTTCTAATTAGACGTTGTCAAATGTCTCACTGAGAGAGTGGCCATTATATTGCACCTTTTTACGAAAGTTAAACCACTCTAGTTTTAGAAGAAGGGGCATTGGGTGATAGAACTCCAGAAGGTCCTCATAATATCGTGAGAGTTCAGGCTTTGTTCGGTACAGAGGATCACCTGAACTAGAGGTATTTTGGCGGGTCAGTATCAATGGGGGTTTATGAACTTCGGAAATGTCTGTCTAGAGCCTGCAAGATCCAATTGCGCTTTGAGTTGTAGGTAAGCATAATTTTGTTTATATAAGTTTAGACACCTGCACTGATTCCACTGGTCTGGATCCATTTTACAACTGCTCGTGTACCAATTTAGCCTCCCTCCAAAATCCCGGATAATCAATATTTTCGCTGGATCAGTTGATCATATGCCTGGATTGACAAGTTCAGTTGTGTGGGATATAAAAATTGCGTCTGTCACTCGGAAACCCCTCCAGATGAGACTTCACATGAGGACCAAGCCATCGCCCCCCCACTCATTGACCCATTGTCACATTTCTTCTCATTACTTTATTTTTATTCACTTATCCGTTCATTTTTATGCTCATTTAATAAAGTTTCCCACCCAACCTAATGCAGCTCAGTTGACTTAATAAAAGAACTTCACTTGTGCTGATGTTACCCTGTGTTACTCAATGTTTTTGGACCGAAAATAGAGGCGGCCCAACTGCCGAGTTCGTCTCCCGACATGCTACAGAATTCGTAGATTTGGAACAGCGAGGCCGCATTTATGTATTCTTTTCGGTGAGTTTTACCCATTTCTTAGATGACTACCTGTCCGGTCTCTAGAATTCTCTCTGCCAGACCACGTTTTTAAGAGAACGGAGGCCGCATTTATGTATTCTTTTCGGTGAGTTTTACCCATTTCTTAGATGACTACCTGTCCGGTCTCTAGAATTCTCTCTGCCAGACCACGTTTTTTAAGAGAACGGACAAATGCAGCACGAGTACAGTGATGTGCACTGACATAAACCAAAATAAAATGCCTGGAAAAGCACATGCTTCGGAATACTTCTTCCTCCATGAATAAAAGTGCAAGGCGTCAATAACCCCCTGGACTGGGTTAATGTATGAAAGCCTTTGCACAACACCTAATGACCTTGACTGGAACATCAAATGGAGCTGTCTGACAATTCCCATGGTGCTCAAAGCGATGGGTAGCCGTTAAGCAGAACAAATCATGTAAACACGTGCTCAATCTTCACAGACCGCGACAACAGATGCGTTGTCTGATCGCGTGTGGCGTGTATCTGGCTTTTGAATCCGGTTGAACTTCAAGAAACGGACATGTTACAGCGGTTTAGATAAATCCAATCTAAACGGTCTACGGGGCTTGTGCTTTGGAACACAACTTCCCGCTATTAGGTTGATCCTTATAGAACCCGAAGCTTTGGCAATCTGCCAAAGTATTGGCCGCTCACGTGGGCCAACTTGATATGAATCAGGTGGCCGTTCATCTGTTCGTCGAACGGGCAACAGATGGAGTGCAACGGGACGAAAAGATAACCGGTGTCATGAATTTCTTCAAAGCAGTTTGCGCCACAACTTCGCTGTTGATCAACAAATTTACACATTGGACCCAAGCTTGTAGATACGAAGTTGCTATATTCTTCTAAAGAAGAACGCAGACATTAGTACCTGGCAAATTAATTTGGTGCTTTCGTTCTCTCGCTTCCATGGGAGGTCCAACAGAACCGCACAGAAATTGAGCACTCAGGGGCTGGGGCCTCCCAATGTCGTTAACGGGAGCGGGTGTTCGCGTCTTGACTATATTTGCCGTGATTCTTCAAACTTAAATCCAGTATTGACTCCATAAAGTATAATTATCTCAGTACTCGCTAATTGACGATTGTCTTCAATCACACATTCGGGTGTCTCACGTTACAAAGTCTCCTTGCAAAACATTTCAGGGTGACAACAAATTTCACCGAATACCAACTGCAATCCTTGGCACGGATATATGGCGTATCGACCGGAAAAATGCAGTGCGTAATCACCGCTGCGTGATTTTCTGGTTAGTCGCGCATAAACTTTTGCTAATGGGATCCTGCCTACACAGGGTCAACCAACCTTCGCGCGTTGTCGATAAACAACATTCCCTTGCGATTGTGAGCCATGCACCGTTTACGGTGTTAGAGTGACCACCATTCATCATTCACCACTCACCTGGCACACAAGTCCAATATGTTCGCATGTTTCACTCGTTTATTTTTTCCGTGCATTTTACCAGGAAACCGAGGTGTTGAAAGTTTTCATGAAAATGCCTGCTGTGACGTTGGCCCGCTAAAAGTATCATCTGAGAACACAGCGCGTTACTCAAGGGAGCGCTTTGCTTCAGAATGGTGTTTGGATAAAGAGCGAAAGGACATCCGGATTATGCACTTGTTTAGCTACCCGGAGAGGAATTTTACTCAGGCTGGGGTAGCACGTAGTTTCGATGCTCAAACTTATCATCAAAAAAAGAAACCGTGGAACTTCATTCCAGTTTCTTACGGAATCAGCGGCGATGCATGCATCATCAAAGGAAGAAACCATGGACCTTCGTTCCAGTTTCTTACGGCATCAGCGGCGACGCATGTTCTTGATCCATTTCTGGTAAACCAGTTACACAAAGCACTCACGCTGGTCCACCCAAGACGATGAAATGCATGCCTGATGGACTATTACCAATCTAGTTCCCAAATAATATGCGTGATGCCGAGACCAGACGTTGCCACGAATTTATAGTAATCTGAGAGTTCACCTCCAAGTACATGACATCAGCTTCGTTGCACCACGGGACCGAATTTCTGGCTCAATACCCGTGTATCAAACTCCGATCCACCTGCTAATAACTGTGTCAGGAGAACTCACATCATTCCAGTTCTTGGAAAAAATGTCACACGAGTTAATTAAAAATATACGGTTGTCCTCAATCCTCGGGAAATTTGGGCGTTTCAGTAGTAGCGCAAGGGAATTGCAAATTGTTCAACAGGTAGTTCCGTACGACAGTCACTCAACCGGGACATCTGAATGACTCACCCAGATTCTTCTGCCTTTGACCGAACCGAGAGATTTCTCGACCATCTTATTCAAAAAATTAACCAGGTCATTGGTTGCAAGCAAGTAGCTGGATCACCGTTTCCTGGATACGCATTGATTTCGTTTCTTACCCAATCTGAGTGGTTTACAGAACAAATTGTTGAACCACTCTCCAAACCAAGCTGATATCTACTTGTTGGTTGGTTGACGACATTTATTGATCAGCATTTTGTCGATGCATTATTCCTTAATTTTATTAAAATATTAGTGACTGTGTACGACCACATCAACAGGATCTAAAATCATTTATTGATCAGCATTTTGTCGATGCATTATTCCTTAATTTTATTAAAATATTAGTGACTATGTACGACCACATCAACAGTGATCTAAAATAATGGACAATTTCTTCACAGGGCAAAGTGCGGATACTGTGGAAACCCCTGGATGGTTGAAGCACGGTATACTTCTGCGTCCAGTCAGCTGTTGTAATCGCAGGAGCAACGCACTGCGCATACAAATTAAGGGAACGTGCGACTACGGTGTGGTGGAACGACAGTCAAACGAGTTACCTAGCAGAATGTTTCCTTTGAACTTGGAAAACTTGCTGCACCACTGGGCTTTTGTAATTTCTGTATCCACCGTAACGGTCATACGTGTGTTCGTATATATCCCTGGCAATAACGCCAGCGAGATGTATACGAGCATGGAAAAGCGTAACCGGTTATTTCGAACCGCGATCCTGATTGGAGCGCACAACTTACCCACGTTGGTTAAACAAACGTGATCAGTGAAACACATGAAACATTCGGACTACCTGTGTGTGTTGTGGGGGAAACTGATTCCGTGAATTATCTATCGTTTGGTGAGTAACTTTGTGGTGCCCCAGGGAGAAATGTCTGATAGTACAACGGTCGATGCAAACCAATGTACAGGTCGTGTGTGACGGTACACTGTTTAACGTCACATGACCTGTTACCCATTCGCAACGCTATCTTTCTAAACAACAAACACATATACAATATTGAATATATACATGTATACAATGCATATACATACAAAATTTGCGATATGTATAAAAGATATATAATATAATACATATATATGTATATATATATTTGAATGGATGAGAGACTTGGCCTATTAGAGTAGCGGAACTGAGACGGCTTCAGGTGTTCGACAATTGCTGTCTCAGTAGCACAGCCCGTGTGGGTTGGTGTCGGTGAATCCGTAACGAGGCAGTTAGAAAGCGTGTTTTCGGTTATGTAACAGGTACTCCATTGGAGAATGTGTCCAGCACCAGAACCTGCGTTGCTTGGGACATCTGTTGCGTATGCCGAACCATCGTTCGCCGAAGAGAATGCTACTTTCCAAGCCCAATTCAGAGTGGCGTAAACAAAGAGGTGGCCAACCCTTGACATGGCAGATTATGAAAGAGATCACGAAACGCTTGGGTGCTGTCGGTGCTACTCGCCTTCCAGGATTGGGACCGTGTGATCCTGAATGCGCCTGGTTGGAGACGCTGCAGTATGTGGATGCCAACCGATGTCAGTTTCTATCCAGATCGCCTGAGGGAGCGTCTGGAGGTGTAGGCACCTCGTAATGATTGTGATAAGCTAGAAATAAGTCCCTTTAACTTCCACCTTCACTCTTTCTTTAAATAAAGCTTTCAAATAAATCATGGTTGTGCGGCAGTGGAGCATCGATGTTGATCGCTGATGTCATGCCTTCGATGATGATGATATATACAATACGAAACATGCAACATAGTGCTACAATGATGAAATTATTCATATGTGATAGCTGCAATACATCACCTGGTGAAAAAACCCTGAATGGCAGTGTTGAGCATTCGGTAATTTTGGAGCTGCAATTCAATCTAATAACTTGGGAATCACAAATTTTCAAAACTGCAGGCTCTCAAATTCACCGTGCTGTGCTTTCCTCACATTCAGGTGACCGTTTTCATAAATGAACGTGTTGTTCACATGCTTTTCGCATCAGTTCATTCTTCGCATCACTATGGTTCATTTAGAAATGCTTTCGAAGTGAATTTCCCGTGTGGTTCAAGGACGCTCGAGGTACCAGTGCGTTCCACAAAACACTAGCTCAAGGAGTGACAATCTAAGTACGCATTTTCAAATGTATGAAACCGCGCCTCCTACGAACTCGGCTGAAGGAATAAAATATGAAAACAAAATAAAATAAAATAAAGCACATGAAAAACAAAATGACCTGGTGTCTATCGTGCCAATAAACCTACCAGGACACCGGCTAGATGTCTCTAAGGGAGCCATGACACTATTTTTCCGAGGGAATTTTGCGATTACCTTTTCTTATTCTTAGTTTTCCCGTAGATACAGCCAGGCTCAGGAGGATGGCATCTGGAGGGCTCAGGTTTACATCATGTTGATCATGCGTAACGGAGAGTTGTTGCTTCCCATATGAACCCACATGCATTTTCGGCTGCCTGTCAGCTTACCAATAACCCCGATTCTCACTCACTTTGATTCAACACTATGCCTTCGCCTTCTGTTAGTTGCTTTAAAATTTAAATGGAGAATACAAGGTCTTCCTTTAGCATGGTCTTCTGACAACTGCCCTACGTGACACGCAGTTTGTTAACCACGCATTATCTGCGGCTTCCACTATTAGAGGCCAATGGTACATCAGGAAGTCGATGTTGTGATTACCGTCACAAAACTGTTGTCTAATTAATTTAATTGGAATAAATAATTTGTGCATTTCCTCATTAGAAATAGGGCACAGCCTGGGCGGCCAGCACAGTTAGTTTGACGACAAGAAACCATCGTTTCTGCAGTTTGAAGTTTCATTCAAATGATATAGTCCACATGACATGTTGTGACGATTGCGGAAATGTCTAACATTTCACGGTTGATGAGCTTACGAACGAACTCCTGAGTATTGCTCCATAGTAAGCAGCCTAAAAGTCTTTGGTTTTCCAACACTTCTACCAACTTCGCTTCATTTTAGAGAACTGCACTGTCCTACAAATCCTTTGGGTTTACACTGGTGTTTAGCCTTCAAAAGAATGGGCCATTTTTAAACTAGAAGGAAAGCCAAGCGGCACTCCGTAGTCCACTTTTAGGGGAATGAATTGCTGTCAGTCGGTGGAACAATGACCGATGCCCACGCAAAATTCGCAAATCCCCTTACATAACTAATAAGCAGCCAGTATATTGAGTTTTGGGTATCCTCATGCCATTTTTATCGTATCCTACATGTGTTGCGATCAACATTCTCCGGAGTTCGACGCACAATCAATCAACTAGATTATCCAATGCTTTGGAAGTAGACGGGTGGAAAGTAGGTGAATGTTCACAGAAACAAGTTTCCGCTACTCTAGTAAATTTCAAGGTCAAGGCCACTTGACTAAATAAACGTTTTTGCAAACCATTACGTCTTATGTTCGAGTATTTGTTAACTTCAATGTCACTGGCACATTGTTCATAAAATCACGTGAAATGCGATCGTTCAGCTTGAGGGCCCACCCAAGGTCATTGAATGCGATGGAGGTACCATCTAAAATGCTATCAGAAATACTGTGCCAAATCAAAACAATTTCGTCTGGAAAGTAGACGTAGATTCTTGACCGGGCAGCAAAAGAAGTCGGTTGTGATACAAACACCGCGGAATAATGAGTAATGATAGGCAATTTATATCTAGGCTCCATACCGCATGGGCTTCTATTCATAGTTAAACTTCCCCCGAGTAAAAGACGTAGATTGACACACATGAACACGTAGATAACAAGCTGATGCTTGTTCATACGGTTCAGGTCGTGGGCATTTTCTATGAGCTAGTGTGTGTCAATATTTTGATGAGTACAGATATTTCTGTCACTAAAATGCGTACATTCATGAATACTCATGTATGACCAAGTGATTCCTACCTCAGCCAAAACACTCGCACTTACATCTACTCACCTAATCTGAAGAAAAGTTCGCGTATGATTTCGGCACATCATTTCAAAACATATTTCAAAAGTTGCACAATCAGCTTTAGGATCGGAGCAGACTGAGGGGGTTTTAGAAATCTATGGGTGGTAATAAAGTCATTGTAAGTCTATGTTGCAACAACTTGTCACATTTGTGTAGTCATCACATATTCAATCAGCAAACGTTCAAATCCGATGTACCAGAACTGTTTACGGTCTGCGAATTTGAAGAGTCAGAAAATGAGGAAGTCAGAAAAGATGTATTTTTGGAATAGGAGCGCTCACGCTTCCTTCATTCCATGAATGTTTTGTCCCGACTACAACGTTTTACCGTGTGAAATAAAGCTGTTGACTCGGGTCAGGTTGAAAAAAGCTCTTCCAGTTTGCTGGAGCAATCCGTAATGCGTCTTGGTGGCGACAATGTATCTGACCTGAGCTGTGAACCGGTGGCTTTTGCTGCTTGTCCTGGAACAATGAAGGCATACAACAACAAGCTGAGGTCCAGCAAGTCTTTGTTCCGTTCATGGGATAAAACAATCAAGTTGCCCTACCCAACTGACATGCCAGTTTCAAAATAAATAACATAACCAGACGCGTAAGACCTCCTCTCTGATGCCTTTGAAATCAAGCCCAACAGTACCATTCCTGTGCCAAAGTCAATATTCGTTCACAAGCACCAGAATTCCAGACTGGAACGTTAATTTACTACATTTTGTGATCGGGTGCAGGGTAGCGATATGGGTAAAACTCAGCCCTGTGTGCAACATAGCCCCCTCTGGAAATCGATCATCGGGGAACTCTGGATTACCAGGTGCACCATAATTTATCTTTAACCATTCCGAGGATTTTTCATAATCAAGGCGCGTTTACCGGTGTCTTTGAACCGTTTATCTTCATGGTTGGGTTGGAGTGGAATGTTTTTTTTAATAAAATACGTGATGCACTATTCTCGAACAAAAGCACCAAACTGGTGGGATATGAGTACGACACGACTGTCGTACACACCAATTTCAGAGATTCCGAACATTGGAAACAGACCCCGTGGTTTAGTGATGGTTCATCTTTCGTTGATATCTCAGACACAAAAAGGACTTCAGGCCACTTACGGAATGCATCATTAATGATGAGGAAGCTTTGTCGGTTAATTGGCCCGGAAGAATTCACATGGCTCTTCAATTTGTGGCAAAGGCAGCGGCGGTTGTCAGCTGCGTAACTTCTGGTTAGCTGCGGGCCAAATGTCACGCGCAATTGGTTCATGATCTCAAAACTCATAACTCGGACTTTCGGTGTGACCATAACAATTGGTGCAACGGTGTCACCTGCCACTTGGAAACAAATACAAGCAACAGTGTTTTGTGATCCGTCACAAAAGTTACATTTCGAAGTTACTTTGTGGAACATCACGTTAATAGTGAGGGCTAGCGTTTCTCTCTCAATCACTTGGAAATTGATTTGTGCCTGAGCAAACATCCCGGTGGCGTGAGCGATTTCCATCTGCATACAATCAAGGAATGTGTGAGTTATGACTGTAGCGATTCCGCGGTATGATGCGCGGAGGTACAATTGCGTAAGCAAAAGTTCCGATAGCAACATTGTCTTTGCTTCTTCATATGCAAGCTTGCGGTCGCGTGAAAAACCTCACCGACATTCCTAGGTCAAAAACTGATTGAAAGATATCAGCGAAAGGTGTTCATTTGGCTGGTAGGCGCAGTGGTAGCTAATGATTACAAACTTCAGTTCGGCAACATTTCATTCCTGCGATTGTGTCGATATTCGACGGGTCTGGGCGCTGGCTACCTTGGTCAATAAGAAACTGCGGTACTTCACACAACTCAGCAAATCACCTGTTCTATTTAGCCGACTCCCATAGTGTCCTACTGGGTTTTTATTCGTGGCCCTACGTTCATCCCGTCGTCAAGGCATGCGGCGACTCTGTGAAGTGTGCTGGCGCAGTTTTTTCTCCACATTACAATCGACTGTACTGGAATGAGCCCGGGTACTTGTCACTCATAAATTAGGATGCGAACTTCGAAAAGAACCTAAGTCGCAAACTAGTCGCCGTCGTTTATCTTGGGAGAAATATCCTTAGGTGAAAGCAAAAGGGAGCATGTGTTGTGCAAAGAAACTCTTAGAGGATAATCAAAGTAATCGGCACGAATTCGAACTTCGTTGAAATCTGTGTAAATATGATTGACGTAGATATTTTGTGTGCAATTTGACTGTAGGTTCGGGCACAACTGAAGCACGTCTTTTGCTTCCGAGCAGCATCTAAGACCATCAAGGAAGAGGTTGTGCAGTCCCTGCATCTGCTGGGTTAATGGTCTCAGACACCATCAATGTTATAGTTAGTTCTGGCATGAATACGTTTTCCATCAGTGGTACTGAGAAATGCAAAGGAACGTTTCATTCTGTCTCCAACAGATTAAGCGCATGCTCAGCAAGATGGACAATAACAATGATATCTCTCTACCACGCAATCAAATTCACCAAGCAATTCACGCCTTCATCCTTAGTCATTTCTTGTGCTGTTCATTTTTCGTCTGCAATTCGGTGATCCGATCTTCCTCCACAAAACTATCCTAATATCGAAAAACGGTCCGGACTGGAATCAGGTTTCACTTCCGTTTTCTGTGATTGAAACATACCTGGGAGTAAGAAATTACGATGGCCATGCGCCTGAGTGTCTCAGCATGTTTGGTTGTTGTCGGAAAATCTCTCCGCCTGATATCATCCCAAGGCAATCAACTGGTTTTTCGCTGGTATGGTGACGATGAAAACGCTGTCGGCTCTTCTTAGCGAGGATCAAATTCATGGCAGACATGAGGTTCCCACTCAGTCTTAAAAAATTCCAGCACCCTAACCCATATATTCGGCCTAAATGCCCGATTTGGCGCGCTTCCCGTTATTCGGACACCTAACAGGAGGTGTGAAAGGGACCCATATCATTTGGTTTCATGACCCGTTGAAACGCCCTGTCCAGACAGTTTCTGCGAAATGGTTCTTTGTCCAATACGACCGGATGCTCAGATATTGGAAAGATTTTTTTCATAAAAAACGGAATACTTTTCACATACTTAACAATGTTAGGGAAAAGTTTGCACAGGAAAGCTGATCATAATATGTGACATATTCATGGATATTATTCTTGTCTTCGTATATAAGCTAGTTTACAATGAATTCGTAAATCTCGCCATGTATATTGGTTGTACAATCACGCAATTCGCAACCTGTACAAAGCAATCAATATTTTGTTGCGATAAACGTTAACAAGACTTACTGTTTCAGGGAGGATGGGTTGAAGAAATGGCTATCCAGGAAGCTTCGCTGCAGTTCTGTTTGGAGTCCTTTGTTCTCGGTTTACTAGTCTGAAAAGAATCTTGTTCATCTTCCGTCAGTCTCCAATCACATTTTAGAATTTGCTTATTCCAGCTGGCGGTCTTTGAGCTAGTCGCACCTCATGCCTCTTGTTCCCCACAATTTGGGGAAGAGACATTTTATTATTATTTCACCGGATATTCCCCAGTGTTGATGAGACTGTCATGTTTTCGTGCAATCCGCATCTCCGCAAATTCCGCGGTCATGCTTCCTTCGGACTGCAAACGTATGATCATGCCGGACTTTATGCCACCCACAGGTTGTAGATAAACATCATCATTATTGTTAAAAGCATACCAGGGCTTCGGACAATTTTGCTACCTAGCTCCCTCCAATTCCTTCGACGGGCTGCACTGTGTGAAGTGAAGTCCTGCTCGCTTTCGCTGTCGCTTTTTCCGTTGCAGGCTTCAACTTTGCATCGCAACTTAAACAACAAACTCTTATTCGAAATTTTGTGATCTGTGGATTTGAAGGGATATCTGGCTCAAAATGAGGAGGCCAAAGCAGTTGTCATCAGATCAAGGATATGCAAAAAAATGACCTTGTTTTTTTCAAATATTCCAATAGACGTCTGGAAAGACACTGTCAATTGTACGTTAATCGCTGCGGTCGACGCATTGCCGATGACTGGAATCATTGACAAAATGCTGGACGTACCGTTTTGATTAACCAAAACAGACAGGAGATTTCGATGATGATGGATGAAAATTGTGAAGCTTCGTAACAAATGATTTCTGAATGCTTCTGGCCCTAGTTCTCACCTCTGACCTGGGGCTTTTTTTGAAGTTACTTTCTCCAATTCTTTTGGTTTGACTGTCTGGAGTACGGGCAAAGATTTATGGCTAAATAAAACTCTATACATTTCTGTATTTCGAAAATACATTCGCCTCGAACAAAGCAATTTTAGCTTGTGTGTAACTATACTTATATTTTTCAGACAATGAACCATCATTTCTCGCATCCTCTACAGACTACAGACATTATTACGAGTTGACTACCTTGACAAAATAAAGTTGGGGGTTGTATGTCACATGTGCCTACGTATAGTCTAAAATATGTGAACTGGGTTTGCCTCTTTGTATTCCATTGTTTTGCCAAACCCTTGCTACTCACACTGATTTACATTCGAGGAAGCCATGGTGCAACGTTCACCTAAGGCGTGATGAATCATGTTCAGGTTACCAAAGTACGAGTATTAAACTCATAGCCATATATATGGCGCTTGTACATATGCGAAATGATCCGGGAATGCTGCGCTTGAGGGTAGTTTTGACGCGTGGTCTGCTTTTCGGTCTATTGATTCTCACAAAGAGTTTGAACTTCAGCGATTGTGGTAAGCTTCCAAGAATAATTCCCAGCATAAAAGACGTTTTGTTGTGAAACCTCTAAGGTGGTACAAGACACATGATTCCACATTGCGTCTGATCTGTTACGCCTCACCTGGATTTTGTCCAGAGTTCCAGTAGGACGGCAAGACTTTACCGACAGGACCGAGTTTTTACTTAACTAATGCTGCCAGGCGAAATAATATTTTTCCCCTAATAACTTTGTATTTTTGAGGACAGTTTTCGGTAAAGGTTTCCCCCGTAAGAGAGGTAGTTATGTGTCCGCTAAAAATGTGTTTCTTTCATTTCCGCTACACTTTCGAGCAGAAACGTCCCCGTGAAGTTCTTTTCTCAATAGGGGCGAACACGCCTGTGAAGTTTGCATTTCACCAAGGGATGTACGACTACTTGGCCAAATCAGCTATGACCGACACCTAACTGTCCAGTTTTGGATTACTCTCAAAGACAAAGGTTGATTGCCCACGGTACAGTTAACCCGGAAATTAATTCTCGCGTCTTTTTTTCGTGTCCGTGTTGCCCGTTTCCGGAGGATGTCAGCTGTACAAACGTACATCAATGTTTATGCCACCGCTACGTGAATTTGCTGACGAACGGCAGTTTCTCCTCCGTTTCTGGCAAACCAACTGTCTTGAAATGCTTGACCCGCTTTGGACATGTTCAGGACTAACTATCGAGCGTACCAAAATATCGTGGCGTATTTTCGGCAGATTGAACCGCAGTCGTTTGCTGTTACTACCAACGAACGCGCTTCTTTGGTTCGTGGAGGCTAGATCAAGCTAGAAATTTGGCGATAAACGTGTCCCCTGTTTGTTTGATACTTTTATTTGTGGACTGTAATTACTGCATTTACAACACTTTTATTTCTCTCTGGTTTCATCGGATTCTAGGCCGCTGAATAGACCTTGAAAAAAGTGTACGTAAGGAGGGTATTTCTGCTTGCACATTTATTTTTCACATAAATAATTTCACGCTGCGGTTTCGTGGAACTCGCGCTAACCGTAGTTACACCTGATAACTTCATCATTCTGCCTCTTCAGGTTCCATGGACGTTTCCGAGATGAGGTTAACGCTTTATCCGTGCAGTAAAGAACCCTGCGTTATTGTTAGGGGGAAAACAGTCCCGGTTGAAATTGCGTTCGCGGAAGGTGAGTAATTGTTTGATCCCAGGTGTTCAGCTAAAATTTGCAATCCAGTGTCGCAGATTGCGATATCAACTAACATTTCATCCACTTTAAGTATATCCGGTTCAATGTGGCGAGTCGCTTCGCATAATTCGGGAAATCGCTTTAGTTTGTCCAGCAACTTATCTGTCGGCACCGGTGACTAATATCAGTAGTTAGTACTGTGTCCAACGCAAGTGAAATTTTGCATTTCTAATGACTCGACGTCATCAGCTGGGTTACAATTCGCAATTAATAAAAAGAACAACAAAACCAAAATATAACAAAACAGTTCGCCAAAATAAAACCACCGGGTCTCCCTTCCCCTTGTTTTCATCATTGCTGTTTTACACTGAAGGTAGATATTGTTTATCAGCCAACGCGGACTGTCCAGTAAAACGCGACTAGACAGGAAACTAAATCTCTTGTTTGCACACGGTTTTTGGCAACTGAACATTATGACGTGCCATTTTAAACTTTTCCGACTATTCATTGATTGTCGCACAATTGTACCTGAACGGTTTAATGCAATTCCCCTGGTTGTACAGTGTAGTGTGCGGAGGCGGAAATTGGACACCTTCCTACAGGCTACTTGCCGGCTCCATCAGTATTGTGCACTAGTACATCTGTAACGAAATCACATTTTGAAATATACTGACTTCGTTCACTGCCTGGACTTAAATTGTTCCTTTTTCTTTTTTTGCATTCGTATGCGTATCCCACGAACAGTCAGAGACAATCACTATTTTGACGTGATAAACATTAGCATGACTCAGCGAGTACGCTTTGAAGAATTAGTTAGCCAGTTAGTTTCGGTGCAGTATCTAAAGGTTTGTTTGGAGTCGTATCTGCTAGGTTTACTTGGCTGTCTGTCTCAAATTACCATTTACAACTTGTGCATACGATAAGCACACACGGGCTTTCGTCAATTTTTGCACCATGCTGTCCAGAATTCAATCACAAGACCCATCTGCGTGACGTGAATTCCTGTTTGCATTCGCTGCCGGTTTTTCTGTTGCAGGCTCTCTCCGCACCGGTAATTACTCGACAAAATCTTATTCGTTATTGTGTGACCCTTGGACTTGATGGGGCAGCATGCTCAATATGAAGAGGGTGAATATTTGACATCAGATCAAGGATATTCAAACGAAAACGAATTGATCTTACACTGCCCTTATGGTTCAAATAGTCCAATAAACCTATGGAATGACACTGAAAAATCTACCTTAATCGATGCGGTCTACGCGGTGTCGATGGCTTGAATCACCGACAAGTGTAAGGAAGGCAGATCCGGACGAGCTTTTTTCAAACTGCCGGACGTACGGTTTCTCATTTTCCAAGACAGACAGATAATTTTGAGCTTGGATGAAAATTGCGAAGGTTCGTAACGGATAATTGCTGAGACTTCCAACCCTAGTTTTCACTTTTGACCTGGGGCTGTTTTCGAAGTTACTTTTGACAACTCTTTTTGTTTGACTGTCTGGAATACGCGCACACATCTATGGCTAAATAAAACTAAAGAATCTTCTGTATTTTAAAAATACGTTCGCCCCGAATAAGGCATTTTTGGCGGGTGAAACCATACTTGCAATTCGCAGACAAAGAATTTTATTTCTTGCCTATTCCAAAAGCTACAGATGTTACCACCAACTGACTACATGGAGAAAATAAACACGGGGTTGTAGATCACATGTGCCTACGGAAAGCCTAAAACATCAAAACTTGGTTTACCTATTTTAATTCCGTTGTTCTTATAGACCCTTGCTACCCACACTGATTTAAATTCGGGAAAGCCATGGAGCCACGTTCACATAGGGAGCATTGAATCAGGATCAGCTTACTAGAACACGAGTCTAAAGTCATAGGCATATATAAAGCATTGGTTCTTGTGCAAAACCTGACCCAGGGATGCACTACTTGAGAGTAGCTTTGACGTGTGGTCTGCTTCTCGGTTTATCGATGCTGACAGAGAGTTTAAACTTCAGAGATTGTGGTAAGCTTCCAGGGATAATTCCCGGCTTACTGGATATTTTGTGGTGAAAGCTTATAGTTGATACAAGATGCAGGATTCCACACTGTTACCAGAACTGTTGCACCCCAAATGGATTTTGTTTAGGGTTCCAGTATGATGACTAGATTTTTCCGAGCAGACTGTGATAGGAACTTAACGAATAGGGAGTTTTCAACTTACCAATGTTGCCGGGTGAAATATTATTTTTCCTCTAATAAATTTGCGTTTTTGAGGGCAGTGCATTTTTTTTCGGCGAGCAAAAACTTGGAGTCTTTTTCCAACTGAAGACGGCCACAACACTTGTGAATTTTGCATTGTATTAGGAATAGACAATTATCTGGCTAAATGACTGTCCCATACCAAGCTGCAAGTCTTGGCAAAACGTGATACTTGTTCCTTGGACAGCACACGCCAATGTAGCCAACGAAATTTCTTGTTCATGTATCGTCTAATTGTAATCACGAACTCCGCCCCAGCATTTGATGTGGACGGTCGCAATGTGCACTTTATTTCCACTATAGCGTTGTCGCTCTCTGATATCCGTAAATTGGTTGACCCTAACACCATAAAGGATGACCAAGCACATGGAAAAATTCTGGTTGGCCCCATTCAGAACGTTCTTCTGTCATTCGCCCAAGACCAGTTTTGGATCACGACAGTCAGCGACAAAGGTTGACTGCCAGCAATTAATTCTTCAGTCTTATTTTCTTGCCCATATTGCTTATCTCCGGAGTCAAAGCAATGGGTGAGTTGGAGCAGTGGTTAGTTGGGCCGCTTCCTCAAGCGAGATGCCAGCTTTACAAACGTTCATCAATGTTTATGCCACAGCTATATGAATTTGCCAATTTTTCTCTGTTTCGGGTCAACCGAAACAGTCAACCAGAAATGGTTCACCGATACTGGACATAAATGACAATCGAACGTACTAAAATTCCGCGGCGTATTTTCGCTAAACCGAAACTCAGTCTTTTGGTGTTACTTCAAAAGAACACGTTTCTTTAGTCCGTGGAAGCTATATTAATCTAGACAACTGGCGATTGACCTGTCCCATGTTTGTTTTTAAAATTTCATTTGTGGGCTGTAATTGTTTTACAACTCTTTTATTTTCCTCTGGTTTCGTCGGATTCTAGATCCCTAAATACACCTCGAAAAGAGTGTTCGTAAGGGGGGAATTTCTGCTGGCCGTAGATACACCTGATATGTCCACCATTCTGTCTCTCCATGTTGCACAGGCTCCATGGATGTTTCCGTGATGAGAGTGACGCTTCCTTCATGCAGTAAAGAACCTTGCGTTACTGTTAGGGGGAAGACAACCCGGTTGAAATTGAGTTCACGGCAGGTGAGTATTTATTTGATCTCAGGTGTTCAGTTAGCATTTGCACTCCAGTGTTGCAGATTGCGAAATCAAGTAACCTTTCATCCACCTTGAATACGTCGAGTCCTCTGTGGCAAGTCGCTTCCTGCAGTTCAGAGGATAGCTGCAATTTGTCCAGCAATTTATCCCTGAACCCTGGCAACTAGATAAATTCGTTAGTATTGTGTTCTAAGCAATGGAATTTAGCATTTTTGTGACTCGACAATTTATAAAATCAGTTCATAAAATCGATTGCAAAAACGAACTACAGGAAGAGAATTTCGCCAAAATAAAACTAACGTTACTCCCTTTTCCTTTTTTCCTCATTGATGTTCAACACTTAAGATAGAAATTCCCTTCCATACGAAATCATTTACCAGCAAACACGAACTCACTAGGTACAAGCGATTAGGCAGGAAGCTAAACTTCTTCTTTGCACACAATTTTTGCAAACTGAACATTCTCACGTGATATTCTAAGCTTTATTGGATATCCATTGACTGTTACACAAGGGTACCTGAACAACTTAAAGCACTTCCGCCAATTGTGCAGTGTAGTTCAACTTCCACCAGTTGAGGGAGCAGATCTTAGACACAGGCCTATAAGCTACTTGCCTGCTCCATCACTAGCATTTACCAGTACATCTGTAGTGACGTGAAATTTTGAAATATATTGTCTTCGTTTGCTGCCTGGACTAAACCTGTTGTTTCTTCTTTTTTGCTTGCGAATGTGTATTCACCTGAACAGTCAGAGTCATCGCTGCTGAAATTCCCAAAATCCGGGGTGCTACAATTCCCGGAAGGCGGTATATGTGCACACCTGCGTCCACCTTGCCCCATTAAAGCTAGGAAATTCTACGGTTCGCTTCACAGACCCAGAGTGAATCTGAAGGGCAAACCCGTAGCTCGCTGGTAAACCATCATTTTTTTTCCAAAACACAGATAAGTCTCATGCACAGTGGAAAGGCTCGTCGTGAAATCAACGCTGTTCCGTTCACATGAGCGAGAGTTTCTATGCTGACTACATCGCTGAATGGCTTGTATACTATATTTGTCCAAACTTTTAGGCACCTGATACGATTACTGCGCCCCTACATAGAATGGGCAGCACTTTAACAGCATAAATATTGCCTTTTCTGGTTAGAAATTCGTGCGTTTGTGACACTCTTCGTTTTTATTTACTACTGACAACATTACGTGAGAGTGGCTGGGTGGCATCCGAAATTGTTAGGTCTATCAACAGTGGCTCATGCCCACAGGAAGTAAAACGTAAGGAGTGAGATGCAACTCAAGTAAAAAACTACCTTCAGGCTGCATGATACGCATTTGTCCTTATACAAATAAAAGAATGGGAAAAACATGAACGCCTTACTGAGAGCATTAGCACTATCCTTCTTACGCCTCACTCATTGGGCTCTCTAGTTTGAAGTGAGCTACCGCGTTTACCTTAGTTAACTTGACACAAGGTACTCTCTGCGATAGGAAGAAAGAAAGAAATCGTTCAGCTGTACCACCCTTCCGGTGCCTAGCTGCCATGCCACCCGTAGGAAGCACGAGGGCTGCGATATTGCCAGGTTGCCGAAGCCTAGACAGGGGAAGTCGAAGGGAGGAGGTCGGATAGGAACCGCGGTCCTTGCAGTCAGTAAACTCTCGTTCTAACCACTTGGGCCATATCGCGAAAGGCCACCTGCTGAATACTTCATTGTGGAACACGTGTTTTTATCTCAGTGTATCCACACAGCAGGAAGGGTTGCTCAAACTAGTTCACGAACTCTAGAGGTGTTCATGCGAAATGGGCGACAATGCGGTCGCAAAATAAGTGAAATGTTTCCAGCATCCTGATCTTTCGTCGGTAGGTTTGGCTGTCTTTCAGAAGTGAAGAGAGTACGATAGCTCTCCTGAATGACACTGGTGTTTAGCGCATTTCGGGAGCGCTCACTCTCATTACTATTGATGATCAAAAACTTCTCTGATACTACCCGTCGTCAAGTAGGTCAATGGTTGATAGCACAGATGGAAAAATTCGCTACTAAACGCTAAGTTTTTGCCGTTAACTTGAGTGCCACATTTCTAGTATTATGGATCCAAACAGTTTGAGGAACCGAACCTGGATACCAGTGGGTTGAATGCTAGGAGTAATATCTGCGACCCAGGCAGGTTTTTGACAAATTCGGAAGCGACCTGAGATTGCATTCCAATGAAACAAAATCTCTTTAGAATTACCAAGTTTTCCCAGGCCGGACAATTTCATTGAGAATATTGCCGCCTTTCTACCGAAAAATTTTTCTAACTATTTTCACTATTCCCCTGCAAAAATTTCAGGCTACAAGCTACTCGGTTGTTTTGTAACTTTGGTTTACGGTGTCCCATTTTGCAGGTTCTTACGCTTGCTATTTAATTTTCGACAACCTCCTCTAATGCATTTTCTCGCAGATTCCACCTAGTAAAATGGGTGTTATCCTTCACGTCTTCCTGGTTGTTCTTTTAAGTAATGCCGACAAAGGTGAAGTTTTTTGTGTTTATTCATACTTATCAAAATGTAACTCATGAAATTCTCTCTCCAGGGTCCTCAGACCATCAGAGTATAGCTAGTGTACAGAAACCGTACTAAATTCATGTACGTCTACATTCCCGTTCAAATCGCATAAACTGCATAAACTGCTCCACAATACACTTCTACGATAAATTTCGTGACATTAACCCCGTTTTTTGATATTCTCTATCCGGGGGCTTGGACAATCAGATAAACCAAGTTGCTCATGACATGTTTGATTTGCCACCGTTTATAGCGATATTTGTATTGCATAAACGAAGAAAGGTATGAATAACTGGCGCTTTGAGATATGAAAAGATGCTCCAGCTTCATGGGAATCTGACCTGATGTTACGCAGTTTAGATGCATATATATAACACCAATTCTCAGGGATAGGTGCCCGGTTAGCGCTGTGCTTCGCGTTTTGGCCAGGGTAATTTAATTTTCTTTCGACGATGTGAGATATGATCAACGAAGGGAACGTAAGTCGACAATTCACATGAAAAGGTACACAGATGTAACATAAACGAGTCATTTCTGTAACAATGAAGACATTTCCAAAGCAGTGATTCTGGCGGACGGTCAAGGTTACACGGAAAAAAATAATAAAATGGCGAGTAGAGGGCATATCCTTATAACCATACAAAGCGTGTGTATACATTATAACTTACCGCAGTCACTGAAAATCAACCTGCATATCACCAGGAAGTAGGAAGGCTGCGTCGTCTTAGATTCCGCCCTGTCATTATTGATGCATACTTCGGTTCATCCGAGATATTCGACAATACGTTTACCATCTGATTAGCCCCACTACTTCCACAGCTACTGATTTAGTGTTTTGCGCCAAATCGCAACTGTGAGAGAAGATTTAACGTACTGACCAATCGTCTACAGCGGCTGGAGGGCAACAAGCATCGACGACGTTCACAATATCAAACGTTGTCGCGTTCTCGTCCTTCTTGATGTCGGAATCACCAAACGTTCGGTCACAAGGCACGCGAATGTTAACAATCCTTTCCTTACATGCCGACTTCCAACATACCTTTAAACACGCCAACCAGTCAACTACAAAATTTCCTACAATTTTCGGTAGTTGAATCCTTTAACATTCAACCCCATCATAAGTCGCTTACGTATGCCACCGACGATAAGCCTGATCGTTATTCACCATGCGAGGTGGGTCATCAGGACTATAGTCGCCAAATCACTACCAACATTCGGTATACTCCAGGATCTGACAATTTCGTTTCAGACACCTCACCCCGCCCAGACATCAATACCTTCCGCTGTCGGACGCAGATGGACCTGGCCAGGCTAGCGAAACTTCAAAATTTTGATCTTAAGTTCACTTTCGCTTATCCTTGCCTTCTTCATTCTCATCACCATACCGGTGTGAAATAATTTTTCCTAAATACGTCTACGTTCAATCGTTCCGGAAGCTTTCCGACGAGTTGTTCCCGACGAATTCCATGGTCTGTCTTATACAGGAATTGAGCACAATTCATGTGGCCCTACGTGATTACCGGCCTGGGCCAAACAGTGGATCGCCTGTCAACGCGGTAAAGCGATTCGGCATACTCTCAGCTCACTTGCGGCTTTTGATGCTCGATTCATGCAAGTTTGTTGGTCCAATTTCCCAATCAAACTGGTTTACTCATATTGTTACCAGGATTGAACGCTTTACACGTTGACAGGTAGCCACCTCCAATTTGGATAAGTTGAATCCTCGTCTTTGGAGCATTGGGTGAGTAACTTTGGTCTTCCTTCCTCCGTTACATGGATTGTCCACCCGCAGGACCGGAACAACGGAAATTGGGGTGTTTGCTAACAGACGGGTTCAATTTTCAATGAATACATTGATATCAGTTGTCTGTGGCACTCTTTAGCCTATCAGTGTGCGGACTCCGGAAATGCACGTGCACGCTTACGCTCCACTGCGCTCTTTAGGTTAATGCAGAATACGCTATTCTGTCTCGGCCACGAAGAAGCTAGTGGACATAGAAATCAAATGAAAATATTAACAATAACGGCCCCCAAACAACATGCCACACAGTCTGATGATGAGCATGAACAGCTCCAGGAAAAATGACCAAAGCGTCACTCTGAGGAGAAAGTTCTGTCTACAGTACAAATCAGCGAAATTCATCTAGAAAGTTTGTCTCTGATAGGACCGTGACTATGCAGGAAACCCCATGACAGATCCTCACATGATAGGCTATTCGACCCATTAGAAATGGAGTGTCTATGCTGTCCAAGAAGCTTGGTAGACCCACGTTCCGCGGAAACGAGTGATCAAAAATTCTGAAAACAGGCTGTTCCGATTTATTCTTCCGTCAAGCTGCCTTTCGCAAAAATTATCATGTACCAATGTGGCACACTGACATCCAGCAACGCGAAATGTTTGAAACACTGAGCAGAACACTACATAGAGCTTCCAATCCGGAACATTACCCTTCACCAGAAAGGAGGATTGCAAGTATGGAACATTTATCACCCTGCAATTCTACGGTCGTCCCACAGCTGAGGACGACAAAAAATCACCCACAGTGTTAAAGAAAACGGTTCTCAGTCAATACAAGCCTAGTGTGTCTAGGAAGAACTAGGAGAAAATACCTGAGAGACAAGACCCGGAGACAAGAGTGAATAATACTGCCTACTTTCTAGGGAGATGTTAGTGGCGGATGTAGCAACTACATGCGTGTCCAAATTAACCCTGGTTGTTACCAGACTTCTAAAGCCAGTGTTTCTGATCCAATCAATTCAAACCAGTTTAGCTCCACCTATTTCATTCCATTCCATGTTGCGTCCGTCTCCTCAATCCCACTCTGTCACAATCCAATCTACCTCAATCTACTCCAATCGGATCGGTTCAAGCCCAATGGTCTCCAGATCACTTCCCTAAACGATACTTTACGCTGTCCTATTCGCAGCCTCTGCTCCCATATTTGCTCATCTCCACACCAGAATCCACAGTTACCTCCACTTCCGTTCTTTCTTCATGCACCCTCAAAGTGTTTTTGTCCTACGCAGCAATATTCCTCATCTAGCTCCCATCTTTCTGAACTACATTCTGGCCTTAACGGATATAACTTTGTGTCACTGTGAGTTGGGTGCTTCAGAGATTATTTTGATTTCATCCTCAGAAATATTGGAAATTCATACCCCACAAAGATCACGTAGAGGCCGTTGCAAACAGCGGACTATGTTATTGATAGTGGACCTCACCGTTTAACGAACACTGTTATGGTTCACTCTCACTCTGTTCTTAGGCGAAGATTCATGTCCGTTCAAAAATCTACGCTGAAAGGAGCCCACACTCGTCGTTCTTGGATCTTGTTGAATGGATTGCCTACTTTGGTGTTCTATCGGAACCCGGCTTTT